GCCAGGGTGATCAGACATCACCAGGGGAACAGTAGAGGTTGAGGGACCCAATCAGATGCCAACAGGATTCTGGCTAAAATTAAGCAATGCCAAGATAGACACAGAAGGCCAAATTCCAGGCTTTACTGGGAAGAGCGTTCAGAAGAGCCCCCAAGAGACTGTTCCCTAAGCTACTGGTGAATAAAAGTCCTCTTATTTCAGATGGGAAAGACTGTTATGGAAGGAGCATAGATTCTCCTGGGACATGGAAGAAAATCAAGAATTCAGGTTGAACGTGTAAAGATTATGATATTATTTAATTAAATGAAAGCATCAAGTGGGCAGCCGAATCTTCAACTCCGTAGAAGGAGGAAGCACTAGATATAAACTGGGAGTTAGCACATAGATGGCATTTAACCCTGTGTCGCTGGGTAAGATTGCTTCAGTTGTGAGTATAGACCAAAGAGGGCCAGGGACTCAGTAAGCCCTGAGGGTGTGCCACCTATAAAGGTAGGGAAGGTGAGGAGTTTCCTCCAAAGGAGACGAAGAGAAGAGGAAAATTAGGAGAGTGTGTGGTTTTTTTGTTGTTGTTGTTTTTTTAATATTTTTATTTATTTCTAAGAGAGAGAGAGAGAGACAGCGTGAGCAGGGGAGGGTCAGAGAGAGAGGGAGTCACAGACTCTGAAACAGGCTCTAGGCTCCGAGCTGGCAGTCAGCACAGAGCCTGACGCGGGGCTCGAACCCACGAACTGCGAGATCATGACCTAAGCGTAAGTTGGACGCTTAACCGACTAAGCCACCCAGGTGCCCCAAGGGAGTGTGTGGTTTTAAAACCCAGGTGATCACCTGTAATTCCTATGGAGCAAACACTGGATTTACAGAGTCACAGTCGTGTTTTTGGATAATGATGTAATTTTCCTCAGCCTCACTGTCCAAATGCATGGGTTAGAGTAGATGATCTCTGAGGTCCCTTGCAACTCTGACTTTCAGAAGAGCAGCAAGTAACTTCATCTGTTTAAAACCATTTCTTACTCATTTTTGTCCCAGTAGTAAAAAAGCAACTTGAAACCGGTATACCAGTAATATTGTTACTCCCTCCTTCAAACCTTCAGACTGGGGTTATCCTTCAAAGTTTTGCCACAGGTAATTATAAAAAGGGATTATCATAGGTGCAGTGTTTCTATAATTCTTTAACAAAATTGTTGTAACCAAAACTAAGATAGAAAGAGAGTCACTGAAAAATTCCGTTGTATACATCTAGGAAGAATTGAGCATGAGCCCTACATCAGTGAAGGAAGAATTTAATATTCAAAATATGACATCTTATTCAAAATATGTCAAAGTAGAGAGTTGAGGCAGAAAAGGCTTGGGAATCTGCACAGAGAAATCGCAGTGGGGTAGCTGAAGGACCAAGAGAAAAGCAAGCATTGTGTGCACCAGGCACCGTGGTGGGGTTCAAGAGACGTGAGATTTGAGTCAGGATTCCGCATGGGCACAGCACTAAGAGAGGCCCAAAGGTGAGGACCATCTACAGTGATTTAAAAATAAGTTGACCACCTTTACCAAGTGGAAAGTTCTCTGAGAGTAATAGGTAAGTCTGGAAAGGCGTTTGGGGGCTAATTGTGAAGAACTTTGAAAACCAACTGAAGACATAATCTTTTGACTTTAGGAAGCTGTCAAAGGTTTCTGAGTAGTAAGAGTATCACGATGAATGCAGAGGACTAAGAACACGAGCAGGCAGTATCAGCCCAGTTGAACTGGAATCGGAAGAAACTAGAGAAAGAGAAATAGCTTTAGCGGTTTTATTACATAGATTAGCAAAGTGGTCATTACATTTGCACCAGAGTGGCTTGGTGAGAATGGAAAGGTGGCTATGGAGGCAACAGTCCCATGACCGTGTGTGTGTGCCTGTGTGTGTGTGTGTGTGTGTGTGTGTGTGTGTGTATTTTCTTCTGAGTCTACATGCTCAATGGTGGCTCCAGAATTTCTACAGAAGAAGGTGTAAGGTAGGGCTCCTGAGAGATTCAGTCGGTTCAGCGTCTGACTCTTGATTTTGGCTCAGGTAATGGTCCCAGAATTACGGGATCAAGCTCCGAGTCAGGCTTTGCACTGAGTGTGGAGCTTAAGGTTCTCTCTCTCTCTCTCTCTCTCTTTCTGTCTTCTCCCTCCCCCTCTCTCCCTCTATCCCACTCATGCTCCCTCTCTCTCTCTCTCTGACATGATAGATAGATAGATAGATAGATAGATAGATAGATAGATAGATAGATGATAGATAGATAGATAGTAAAATTAAAAAAAAAAAGAAAGCATAAGATAACAATCTGGTTGGAAGGTGGAGAGAGTTAGGGGACTTGTGTTCAAGATAAACCATTTTTGGGCCCCTGAGTGGCTCAGTCTGTCGAGCATCTAACTCTTGATTTCGGCTCAGGTGGTGCTACCATTGAGTGTGGGATGGAGCCCCACCTCAGCTCCGTGCTGAGTGTGGGGCCTGCTTCTGTCTTTCTCTTCCTCTGCCACTCTCCCCACTCACTCTCTCTCACTATAAAATTAAAAAGGAAATGTTAAGTGAACTAAACTACTCCCTGTCCCACCAAGCCCTCTCCCCTTACTACTAATCTTAATACAGTAAAGGCTCAAATGACGTGAAAAATAGGACCCTAAGATCTTAAGTCTAGCTCTGAGGACTCTTCACAGGGAGAAATTATGTATAGAAAATGTTCATCCAACCCAGGCTGGGTTACGGTCAGCTCTGACCACTAACTTGAGACGGAAATGCTTCTTATCTATTATTTCAGTGGGTAGACCTATTGGGAACCTGGGAAGGGAGCCAAAATCGTCAAAATCCATGAGACTGAATCAAACTGAGTTGTTAAACAAAAGGGCCTCGTGAAGAATAGGAGCTAAACTGATAAGCCCAACAAGGGGCTTGAGAAGCCACAAGAATAAGGAGTTAAGGTGGCCCAAAATAGCATATTCCTAAAGCCCAGCTTCTGTCTGGCTTCTGTAATGTCAGTTACCATGAATAGTTTATTGTTTTCCTATGTTCCTTGACTATTAGGGAATATTAATTATATACTTGAAAGCATTACTCGGTAACAGCTCCCTGGTTAGGTTTTCAACTCTTTTGTGGCCTCTTTGATGACAGTTTCATAAAGAAGCAAAATTAATATGCTATGGGCTAAATTCTGTTCCTGCCCTGCAAAGTTATGTTGATGCCCTAACCCCCCTGTGCTAGTATTTGGAGGTGGGCTGTTTGGGGGGTAATTAGGTTTAGATGAGCTTATGAGAGTAGGACCACATGGTGGGATTAGTGTCCTTATAAAAAGAGGAAGAGAGACCAGGGCCAGTGAGCTCTCTTGTGAGGACACAGAGAAGGGCAACCTTCTGAAAGCCTGGAAGAATGCCTTCCCAAGGAACTGAATTAGCACCTTGATCTTGGACTTCCCAGACTTTGGAACTATGAAGAATAAAAACCTGTTAAGACATCCAGTCTGTGGTATTTAATTATGGCTCCCCAAGATGACAAAAATATAATCTTTCATAATAGTTTGTGTTTTTAATGCAGATAACAACTCTTGATGATCATAGCTGGATTGTTATAACTGGATATTTTCTCTTATGCATATAAACTGATAACTAAACCTAAAGAAAAGCCTGTTTGGTTAGTAATCCATATTAAATCTTATTAATAATAAAAATAAAAATTAGTATATTGGTGCTGTCATTTAGAGATGGTGCAAAGAGGTTGAGAGAGGGAGAAAGAGAGAGAATGGTAAATGAATGAGACAGATGAGCTAGTCTTAGCTTTAACTTTCTTAGCCTTAACTTTCCAAGGTTAAGAACGAAGAAACTGTTAGTTCATCCAGAACTGACTGATATGACCACACCCAAAGGTGCTGATCTGTAAACAGCGCGATATGCCCTGCATCTAGTATTCCCCAGGCACTCCTTCCTGGCTAGTTGGACCAGTCTGGTCAGATCAATGATAGGTTAGGTAGAGGTCAGCAGGTGAAGCCCCCAGGCCCTCTCTGGCCACATCCTGTTTTTGTAAATAAAGCCACACATATTTATTTACACATCATGTATGGTCTGGTTTGCACTATAGTGACCAAATTGAGTAGTTGTGACAGAGACCTCATGGCCCAAAAAGCCTAAAATATTTGCCATCTGGCCCTTTACAGAAAAAGTTTGCTGACCACTGTATTTCAAGTTTCTCTATGAGAGCAAAAGATTGAGGAGAAGGAATTGCTATATGCCCTTAGAACTTTAGAACCAGATCAATTGGCCTTTCCCAGTGTCAGTCAAGCTTATGTTTTGGCTGTATTATAAAAATCAGAACTGTAGAAGCCTTGGGGGTGTAGTAACAAATTCTTACCCTCTAAAGCTCTATTTAAAATTTTTTTAAATTTATTTTTGAGAGAGTACAGCATGAGCGGGGGAGGGTGAGAGAGAGAGGGAGACACAGAATCTGGAAACGGGCTCCATGCTCTGAGCTTGTTGGCAGCACAGAGCCTGACGCGGGGCCCCAACCCACTAACCGTGAGATCATGACCTGAGCTGAAGTCGGACACTTAACCCGACTGAGTCACCCAGGAGCCCCTCTAAAGCTCTTTTTAACAATGTCCTTGACTTCTGAATTATGAGTCTTCTCATCAGTTTAGTCCTGATTGTTAGGATTTTAGATTTCTATCTTTCCTTTCAAGGAGATGACCTAGGCCCGTCTGAGATTTAGATTGCATCCTAGTTTTATCAGCAGCGTCTTTATAAATCATTACTGTAGTATGTTATCTACACAGAAGATTTCCACAGATAGCTACTCATATCCATTTAAGGTTGATTCTTCTTAGTTTCAAAATGTGAACTCCCTCCTTTCATTTTAGGGGCGAGGTTGTCTGACTTGGTCCACGAATTCTTAGAATGTGTTACATTTGTCACTGTCACATCAGGGGTGTCCCACAGCATGTACTGACCACCTGAGTTTCTCAATATTTAATTGTAAAAGGAAATTAATTCTCCTGTAGGTCAAAAGGTTCAAGTGAGCAGTTATTGGTAGCTTTTAGCATCATGTCAACTAGTTATCAACTGATTGCTTCTGAGCTCCACGTTCACCCTGAAGGACCTGCTCTGCACTAACAGACTAGACTCAGGCATTTCTCTTTTCCTGTGAGCGCACTGTCAAACCCCTCCCCAGAGGGCGCTGGAGGGACCTTGTAGGAGGAAAGGGGCATCTCCTCCTGGTTCCTTTTTGCTGCATTTTGCTTTCTCTTGCCCTTGCTGCACAGTCTAACAGCCATGAGCATGAGATTGAAGGCATCTCCGTGAGTGGTGCTCTGCCGCCACCATGCATAGTCCCTTGGCTATGACAATGTCACAGACCGGACCTGGGCCCAGGAACCACCTGCCGCCCATCTTCCCAGAAGCAGACCCCAGGCCGCAGGCCAGCAGTAGCTCCCTACCTCTGTTTGCACATCTACCCGCCAGCCTCTGCTCACTTGGGCTCCAGAAGATTGTTTCCTGCTGCTCTCCTGACAAAGACCTCACCTACGGCCAGGCCACACCACCCTGCCAGCAAGCCAACTTTTGATGCCTTCTGTGTCCACCTACCCTTGGGTTTATCAGCGAAGCTGTAAGTTAAATTACAAAAATATTTCAGTCCACTAAAGTGTTGTTTTTTTAATCATGTGATGAGAACGTACACATTTGCATCATGTCTAGGATTCATTAATTTAGACTGAAAACCTCAGGGGCGCCTGGGTGGCTCAATCAGTTAAGCATCCAGCTTCGGCTCAGGTCATGATCTCACGGTTGGTGGGTTCAAGCCCCGCATCGGGCTCTGTGCTGACAGCTAGCTCAGAGCCTGGAGCCTGCTTCTGATTCTGTGTCTCCCTCTCTCTCTGCCCTGCCCCAGCTCACTTGATCATGCTCTCTCTCTCTCTCTCTCAAAAATAAATAAACATTTAAAAAAATTTTTGGATTGAAAACCTCAGAACTGCATATGCATAAAAAAATGTAAGCATTCATTCATCTTACCTTAGTAATCCCATTCTGGGAAACTCAGTTTAAGAAAATTATCAGAAATGTAGAAGAAAATTTATATTAAAGTAGTCATAGCAGCATTCCGGGTTTTTTTTTTTTTTTTTTAAGTAAACTCCACACCACTTGTGGGTCTCAAACTCAGCAATGGCATGATTCAATCCTAGATTCTACCATATCTGATGTCAGATGACACCTGAACTTTTCACTCTTTTGCTTAAAGCAGGTTTCATTTTTTTGTCACCAACAACAAGAGCCAGAATGAATGCAACGTGAAAAGGTATTTACAAGAACGAAGTGAAAAAAACATGTTGCAAAAAATAGCACGTTTAGTATTTCCTCACTTTTGCAAAAACATTTCCATAGATACAGTCGTAAAGGATACATTCTGTAATGATAAAGGCAATTAATTACCTCTGGATGAGGGATTAGGGGTATTTATTTTCTTCTTGTTTAAAGTCTGAAAACAAGCTTGTCTCTTCCTATAAAATTAGAAGGTATTATAGGATTTCCCTGAGTGTCCCCTGCAACTCCATTTTGCTAGCGTTGCATTTTACATTTAAAATACAGGGACTTCTCTAGCCGCTTATCTACCTCTGAGCCCCTGCTGTGACAAGGTTGAATATGGAGGTATACTCATGGCTCCTAGAATATCATTGCTTCTAGGCCCTCTAGAGGGGCCTGGAGGGGCAGAGCTAGGAAACAGACGTACGGACACATCTGTATCCCTGCCCCCGGTGCAAGTGTGCACATACACCTATTCGTACCGCATTTTCCCAGTTCCAGTCCGTCACTGTAGCATCTTTCCTAACTTCCCTTCTCCCACAGTGGAAACTTCAATATATTCACTTATCTCTTCAAGCCCCATATGTGGAATCAGTCTCCCGACTGTGTGGGCCCTCTCCTTGGCCTTGGGGCAGCCTTGCCAGCCAAGCTGTCCTCAGTCCTGATCCTGATCTTGCCAACTCACTCCAGCTGCACTGGCTGAGTTCTCTAGGGAAATGTTCCCAAGATGAAGAAAGTCAATATTATAGTGTTGACAAGTTTGGAAACCATTTATTCAACAAATAATTACTGAGCACCTTCTCCATGCCAGGCATTTTTCTTTTATTGTCTTAATTTTTTGAAAGATGTTATTTTTATTGTATTTATTTTTATTTTAGAGAGAGCGGGGGAGAGGGGCAGAGGGAGGAAGAGAGAGGGAGAGGGAGAGAATCCCAAGCAGGCTCCACACTCAGAGTGGAGACTGACATGGGGCTTGCTCCCACAACCCTGTGATCTTGATCTAAGCCAAAATCAAGAGTTGGACACTCAGCCGACTCGGTCAGCCAGGTACCGCCACCAGGCATTTTTCTAAGTGTCAGAGATAAAACAATAGACAAAAACCTTACCCTTGTGGATCTTACAGCTTAGTATAAAAGCCAGACGATAAAGAAGATAAATAAAACATAAATTGCTAATGATAAGTGCTAGCTAAGGAGAGAAAAATTCACTTGGGAAGCAGGATAGGGAGAGGAGATTAAATTTAAAAACTTGTTTAAATATTTATTTATTTTAGAAAGAGAGAGAGAGCCCGAGCAGGGGAGGGGCAGAGAGGGAGACACAATCTGAAGCAGGCTCCAGGCTCCCAGCTGTCAGCACTGAGTCCGAGGCCAGGCCCGAACTCACAGACTTCAAGGTCACAACCTGAGCCAAAGTCTGATGCTTAACCACCTGAGCCACCCAGGAGCCCCCAGGAGGTGGGGAGGGGGGAGAGAGATTAAATTTTAAATAGTTAGGGAAGGCCTCACAGAGAAGGCTTTTCAGTAAGGACCTGAAGTACATGACAGAACAATGCAGTTGGAAGGAACAGTCCAGCCAGGGGAAGAGCACCTGGGAAGGGACGCCAGTGCAAGGCCAGCAGTGGAAGGAGGCAGGTGGTTCAGGAGGAGACAGCAGGAGATGCAGTCAGAGACATAACAGGTGCCAGAACATGTAGATCTTCGCCGGTGAAGGCAAGGACTTTGGCTTTTGCTGAGAGAGATAGGGAGCCACGGGAAGATTCTGAGCAGAGGACTGACTTCACCTGACACCTTTTGACTGGGTCGTGCTGGCTGTTGTCTAGAGAATAGACAGAGGAGAGGCAAGGGATGGGAACAAAGGACGAAAGAGCTCATGATGGCGTGGCTCGGCATGGAAGCAGGTGGCACTCGTGAGAAGTGCTGACCCTGGATGTGTTCTGGAAATAAGGCTGCTCGGACTTGCTGGCAGACCAGAAGTGGGTGTGAGAATGAGAGGGGTGAGGATAACTCCAAAGTTTTTGGTCTGCATAACCAGAAAAATAAAGTTGCCATTTAGTGGAATGAGGAGAGCTACAAAAGAAGCAAATTTGGGGAAAATGTCAGGAGTTTAGTTTGGAGTATGTCAAATTAGGAGATTCTTTTTAGTCATCCGATTAGAGGTGTTAGGTTGGCTAAGGGTCTGGAGTTCAAGGGTGACGAGGTAGGTGCTCCATCAGCATCTAAGTAGTAAGTCATGAGCCAGGGTGGTCACCTAGGGAGAGAGTGTAGGTAGAATAGAGAAGCGGTTCCAAAACTAAGCTACGATGTGCTCCAGTGCTTAGAGCTAGGAGACTGAGCCAGCAAGGAGACTGGGAAGGAGTGGCTAGAAAGAGAGGAAAACCAGGTACATGTGTCGCACTGGAAGCCCGATTCAGGGATCAGGAAATGAATCCCACTGTACTGAGTGTCGCTAATCATTCAAATAAAATGACTGAAAAATGACGATTTTATTTAGTGACATGGTGATCACTGGTAACCTTGAGAAGGCAGTTTCAATGGAGTGGTACGGGCAAAATCCTAATGGAGAGAACCCAAAAGAGCATAAGAGATAAAATCAAAGAGGGTGAGTAGAAATTTCTTCAAAGTTTTGTTTTTTGATCTTTCTTTCTTTTTGGCCTGTTCTAAATGGATGGAAAGAGATGAGACAGTAGCTGCAGGGGGCACACGGGTTTTTAAAGAAGTCTTTTTGCCCTCAAGATGGGAGAAATAATATCATGTATGTAATATGGATGGAAATGATCCAGTAGAGGGGGAAGAATTGATACAAGACAGTTGGGGAAGCTAGAGGTGTTTGATTTGAGGGGTGGGGGATGTAGGGGAAACGAGTGAGCTGAATATCCAGAGAGCTGTTTGATGATTTTGGATCCCAGGAGTAAGGGCAGGGAATAAATGGAACAGATTGGTTCCAATCTGGTAGATTGAGAGTGAGTGGGGATTGGGAGGGAGTGGAGTCAACGGGAAGATGAGCTCACAGTTGAAGAGCAGGCCAAATAGAAGTGTGAAAGAGGGGACAACATGATACTAAGTCATTATGAGAGAGGGATGTTGATATATGAGATTTCAAAGATGAAGGGCGCCTGGGTAGCTCAGTCGGTTGAGTATCCAACTCTTGATTTTTGGCTCAGGTTATGATCTCGCAGTTCAGGAGTTCGAGCCCCACATTGGGCTCCATGCCGACAATATGGAGCCTGCTTGGGATTCTCTCTCTCTCCCCTTCTCTGTCTCTCTCTCAAAATAAATAAACTTAAAAAAAAAAAAAAAAAAGACTTGGGGCGCCTGGGTAGCTCAGTTGGTTAAGCATCTCACTTTGGCTCAGGTCATGATCTCATGGTTCGTGAGTTCAAGCCCCGCATCGGGGTCTTTGCTGTCAGCACGGAGCCTGCTTTGGATCCTCTATCTGCCTCTCTCTCTTCCCCTCCCCTGCTTGTTCTCTCTCTCTCTCTCTCTCTCAAAAATAAACGAATATTAAGAACAAACAAACAAAATCTTCAAAGATGAAGCCATTTCCAGAGATGACAAGGTTTCAAGTGCTGCTGTTGGGTGTGGGTGGAAATAAAGTTGTTCCCAATAAATAGCACCCGTTTGCTGGAATCACTGACAGAAGTACAAGCGTGGCCAGAGAGGTGGTTAGGCTGGGACTAGGGGACAGGGACAGGTGATTAGCCTGAATGGGGTGAGTGTGGGAAGCAAAGGGCCCAGCTATGGAGGAGACCACCATTTGGGGTAGGGGTGGTGAGCTTCCTATCCCTGGAAGGGTTCAAGAAGACACTGGTGACTCAGAATTTAAAAAGAACTCTTCAATCTAAAGAGTTTTAGGTTTAGGGGCACCTGGGTGGCTCAGTCCCTTAAGTGTCCAACGTCGGCTCAGGTCATGATCTTGCGGTTCGTGGGTTCGAGCCCTACATCGGGTTCTCTGAAGGCAGCTCAAAGCCTGGAGCCTGTTTCAGATTTTGTGTGTGTGTCTCTCTCTCTGCCCGTCCCCCACTCCATGCTCTGTCTCTCTCTGTTTCAAAAAATAAAAAAAAAAATATTTTAAAAATTTAAAAAATATAAAGTTTTAGATTTATTAGCAGGACATCTGAGAACTTTCTAGCCCAAGCTGATATAGTAATTATTTGGTTTGAACTCTGCCTCTAGAAAAATTAGAAATTTTTTTCTGTAAAGATTCTTTTCCCAGGAGAGTGAATTTTATCCTACTTAGGACCAGTAACAGTCTGTCATACCCATTCTCTCCGGGTTCTCTCAAAAGGCTTCCGAGGGCCTGCACATTCTGGCACCTATGCGCAGGCAGGTACATAATTATTGGAGT